TTTTTATTTTCAGTATTTCTGTGATAGATGGATTTAGTTTTTTTACAGTGAACATTTACAGACAGTCTGGGATTAATTTTTTTGACATGATAAGTTTGTTAACCTTCATGGATTGTTAAGAAACTTGGACAGAAGCTAATCTTCAAGACCAAGAAATAGCATCTAAAGAGAAAGCTTAATTTTTTTTTTAATTCTGTATTTTACTGATAATCGGACTCACTTTTTAAGTCAACATTACTCTTTTACACTGACAGCAACAAGCGTAGGCGAGACACAGGGTTCCGCGGAAACCCTTACGAATTTTTAAGACTTGAGTGAGTTCCCCCCGCCCCCCCCAAAAAAAATCTACGTAATTCCAGAGTTCCTTTAATTCATTACACGCCGCCATACAAGTTTCTTTTTTAACAGTGCCCGGTTTTGCGACTATTTGTTTTGTAAAAATAATTGTTCAACTGATTTTCGAACTCGTTCCAGACATTGCTGATATAAACATTTGATGTACATTTCATAACATTCAAGAAATGTAGGTTTGAGAGCGCTTTTAATTTTGCCATTTGATTAGGGACTTTCCGTTTTGAATTTTCCTCGGAGTTCAGTATTTTTGTGATTTAACTTTTTACAATGCAATTGTCTATGTAATTACTATTCCCAAGAGGCATAACACTTTTACAAATAGTTGATCGGCACAAATTTTCGAACTTTTCCGAGACATTGCTGATATAAACCTCTGATATAAATTTCATCCAACTCTGGCAAGATTTATATAATTGAGAGAGCTAACAAAACAACTTTCTATATAAATAATATTTTCAAGGGCATAAACATAGTTGATAGGCACTGATTCTCCAAATTTTTCGAGAAATTACTAATGTAAACCTATATATATATGATATAAATTTCATAAACATCTGACTAGAATTGTTAACGTGAAAGCGCGTACAAGACCGGATGGACGGATACATCTAGTATATCCTCTATGTGATGAATAAAATTTCTATAAAAATGTTCATAAGTCCTATTTAGAATTAAACTTTTATCCAATGTTTTTCCATTCATACAGGAAGCAAAACAATGGTATTTTTTTAAAACTCAACATATGCTAGTGACACTGGTACACCTTTATCATCTTAACAAGGTCAGTGAACGGAGAAATGTGTCTGCAAAATAAACTAACGATGGATTGGTTCGTTCCTATTTAAAAAAAAAAACATAAGTCAAACTGTACGGGATTTGGAGGGTTTTCATTCTTAGAAAAAACTGTTGTTTTCAGTAAAAAGACATCAGAGCATCCACACTTGTTTTGACCACACAATGCTGTTGTAAAAGTATCATAAACCCCAGATACTGGAATCTTGTTGTACTTCTGGAAAAATCTATTTTAAAAACAAAAGTGTCAATGGCAATAGTTGTTCATTAGACAACAATAAAAAGCGCTTCGTATTGATATACGAACAGAAGATTTTTGACGAAACAAAATAAGAGGTAAATGTAAATTTTCTTTTTGAAGATATCCCTTTTGTCATTCATGATGATTACAAAAAATACTTTATATAATAGTTGTTTAACGTTGAATGTTCGGCTTATTTACCCACTCTTACTAAATAATCATCATATATTGTGCAATTTCCGTCTGTCAGTCCGTCACACGTCTTCCGACATAAATGGTTCTCTGATTTTAAAGTTCATTGTCTTCTTTAATGCATGAAATACAAAACATTATTAAAGGGGAAGGCCTAATGTGGTCTATAATTCTTAAACTGGTGTTAGGGTACTGAAAATGTTTATAATAAAGGAATATGGTCGTAAACTCATCTTTCATATTTGGTTTCTTAGAATGTTTTTTTTATCCCTATTAGTTTAATTAGCCAAGGGTTCAAAATATTGGACGTAGTAGATTACATTTATCGATTTTGTTTTTATTTTTGATATCTTGTTAATTTCCTAACTTCTGCTTTTTCTATTTTCATACTATTTCTCATTTCCTTTTTTTTTTCCTTTTTCAATTTTCAATCCCCTTTGAAAGATTTTTATTTCGTTATGTTACTAGTTTATATCCTTCTTGTATCAACAGGTATTACATTAAAAGGTTAACAAGAATTACTAAAACACTGAACAGTAAAACACCACATCATCCATCAACATCTGGTTTCTCCAAATACAAATAGTTTCTCTTAAAACAAAGGCAATCGTCAACGAAAAACACATATTCCAAATGCTCCGTTAAATTATAAAAGACAGGCGAAAGATACCAAAGGGACATTCGAACTCATACGTCAAAATAAACTGACAACGCCATGGCAAAAAAAAGATAAAAAGACAACACACAACACACAACATATGACAACACAGTAAACTAAAAGACCGAGCAAAACGAACCTTACAAAAAATCTGGGGTGAACTCAGGGGCTCCGGAAGGGTAAGCAGATCCTGCTCAACATATGGCACTTGTCGTGTTGCTCATGTCAGTACAAACCCGGTGATACGTCTAATACGGTACGTCAAATTCGGGAAAATGTGGGACGGGATTGTGTTTACGACAATTGGAACACATCCATCGTCATCTGTGAAACGGCCAACCAACTCGTAATAGCGTCAGTAAAATTTTTGAAGGGATGACTTCCATTTCACCGCTTGGAACTCTTGGTTTAATAGCTTCCTTGTGAGCAGAAACCATCTATCAAGGAAATCATGATAGGAAAGGCAAGCCCTGGAATATCGTTTCAACTGGGAGATATATACTCCATATGCAGGCGCTGCTGGAATGTTGCTACAAAGGAATTGAAAGTTCACAATTGGGAAGCTGAAATCATCTCTTTTGTCGTAAATTTTTGTTCTCAACCGACCCTCTTTGTCAATTTCTGGATGTTAGTCAAGATATGAGACAGACTCAACTGTATCTGATGTATCCTTTATTTCAATTTCGATGGAATAGATGCGTTCTATTTACATTTTCCACCAAATAATAAGTTGGTATTTTGTGTGCCCATACTTTTGCAATCTACACTCACATTCTCTGATACCAACCATGAACAATTTTGAAATTTTACAACATAAATTAACATCACCATGCTTTGTTGCATGGTAACTCGTCATATGTAAAATTTAGTTTCATTGTTTGTTTGTTTGCGTTGTTTTTGTTTTTAGATATTCTTACCTTAGTCATGTAAGGTCATATTTTAATACTTGCATTTTACCTCAGTTTTAGTGCAATCATTAATTTGTGTATTGACTATTGTAAATTTACGAACACAACAAGGCAACAGTTCTTTATAGATGTTTAAATCTTGTAAATCGATTAAGAAGACAGCTCAAGGTGACAAACTAAAACAAACAAAGACTGAGGAATCACATGCATGAATTATATAAGATGCGAGACCAGGTGAGCGTCTGCAATGCATGTCAGCACCAAAACATTGACAATTGGAAAGATGATACCCTCAGGGGCTTACAGTCAATAACAGCAGCGGTAGTAGTAGCACACAAAAGGGCAAGCGATGTCGAGGAGGCAATTTAGGACCACAAGCCGAAGAAAAAACCCAGATAGTACCACGACTAAAATAAAAATGACGAAAACATAAACAACAATGCTCAACCACTACACAGACAAACGAGAGATTGAGGTAGACAGTTCCTTCTAAAAACAGGGAATAACTCAGGTAAAGAAGCTGGTAAGATTCCTATTATATTAACTGCACAAGCCATGTTACTCATAGGAAGTGAAAATTTGGTGTCAAGTCTCATTTGTTGATACCACAATCGAAGAAAGGAGAATGTGATTATCGCTACAAGTCGAATTTATATGTGTTCATCCGACGCAAATATCCAATAACAGTCTAAACAATCATGAATGCACGCTTAAACTTTTCCAGTAAAGAATTCAGCATTACTATTTTACCATGGTAATAATGACTTCGATGTAATAAGAAACAGTCTATTACTAAATGATACCGTTTATACTCCATAGGCAGGTGTTGCTGTACCATTGCTTACGAAAATGAAAAGTTCGCAATGAGAAAGTTGGAATCATCATTTTTTGTAATACAATTTAGTTCTTAACTAACCTCAATTCCTAGATGTTAGTCAAGCTATGAAGCAGAACTTATTGTATCCGTGATATTCATTATTTCATGTGAAATGGGATTGTCGCGGGCCATAGTTCAACATGTGGCATCCGTCGTGTTGCTCATGTAAGTATAAAAAGTCTTATTCGGTACGTCACATTCGGGAAAAAGAACTAATTTATTTAAGGAGGGTATTCCATCAATGAAGCGGAATGTGAAATTAAAGGGTAATGCTAGCTTCTTTTTATTTTTCTTGATAAACTCCTGCTTTAAATCTGTCTCATACGAATGAAGTAACAAGTCTCCGCGCCGAACAAACCAAATATGTTTGCAAAATAAAACGAAAATCTTTATGATATCGGTCTCATGAAACCTTTTGTTTGAATCAAAGTGGATTTTTACAAACTACGATTTGTTTTATTGATGATAAGGTAGACTTTTGTGATTTGGAAAGAGGACTCGTGGTTGGAGCATTAGACAGACCCAGCAAGATTACGTTATATGGACACTAATGTATTTTGGATTAAAGCGACGATAACAGAAGACCCAGTTTCAGTTGAAGTTCCAAAATAATTTAATATGAAACGGACATATGATTGTTAAGAATTTTCTTTGTAGTAAATGTACATATTGTAGGAGTAAATTTCGGTTTTCCAAGTGATTTTTTAATACCAAATAGATATGATTTCTGTTCAGACTCACTGATCGGCAAAAGTAGACGCAAAGCAGAGATCTTGTCAGCTGTGAGCAACCAATAACCGAAATGCGTAAAAAGCCCAGTCGAAGTACGAAAAATGCAATAAAACTAATTGTTTTATTGGTTATTAGATAAATAAAACCGAGGCAATAGCATTAAAATAACAAAAAAGTAGTTCTTGAGATAGAGACTCAAAATACAATTGTTGTATATGTCCTCGATTAAAATTCAAACAAAACTCGTATAATGAAATATTTATTATCCAGAGATCTAAATGATGATATGTGAAATGGAAAAGTCAAATTAAATTGTTTGTATGCATATAATGCTTGTCCAGTATATGTTCTCACAGGAAGCCTTATGATGAAACAATACAGGTGCTACTCATGAGTTCGTTCCCTTTGTCAGCTACCGTACGTACAACTCGCCCTGATTGTCTATCAAACACGTACATCCTGCAAAATTAAAAATAATATTCAATTATTCAACTGATTTTGGTGTTTATGCTAAATCAAACATGATTTCAAATATATATTCTATGATAAAATGTGTTCAACTGTGACGATCATCTTGCCTTTTTAGATAAAAAGCAAAAGCACAAAATTGGCGTTGTGCAGGGTTCGACATAAGTTTGTTTTTAAACAACTTGCCCTTTTTGCAAGTGACCATCCTATAATACTTGACTGAAAGAAACAACAACTTTCTGAATTTTTGTACTTGCTCATGGACTTTCTATACTGCCATTTACAGACGTAAAATGATGTAAAATTAGCATTCTGCTAGAGTAAGCTGCCGTGTCATCTTATAACAGATAGGCTCAGGATTGTTGTTTAGGAACATTAAATGCTCTCTATCTGAAGAGAATGCTGGGAATAAAACTATTTTCCAAGGCCCATGTGCTTAACCTGGGATATACAATGTATACTGATGTGTCTCTTGTATATTTTCACCCACAGAAACCCTTTCCCTAAATAAAGTAGTGCTGAACTTTGCGAAAGCTCATAAATTAAATTGTGTTCAGTGGTGGTGGTCACCTTGAATTTTGATTGGCAATAAAAACTCAAAATTGGTTAAAGGCTATCTATGGATCATTTTTACAATATTTTAAATAAATATACAAGACGTTCCAAGATATTTGCAATTTCATGTAATCAGAATACATTTTAACCCTTGCAACTATAAATTTCAGATCCACACCAAAAAATAATTTTGTGAAGTACCTACGAATATGAAAATTCCTGCCAATTTTGGTTTTAGTTGACAAGAAAGATTTTGCAGAAGATTAAAATGTGAAAGAGTTTTCAGACAATTAATCAAAAGTACTATGGCAATACCTCACATGACCCTGTGTGGCTCACTCTAGGTGAACTAATAGGTGTTGAAACTTTACTTTATTGTTTGTCTGGAAGGAAATGTTTTTGCATAGACTCCCAAGGCCTGGTTGAAATTAAAAAAAAAAACATTTTTTTTTTCACATAATATAACATTAATTCTAATGAAATAGTGAATTCAATTTATTTGTTCATAATTAATGATTTCTAGGAGAAAAAAAGAAAAAGAAATATGAAACATGAGAATTTAACACCATGACTATAGTATTTGACTGAATTTGAAAAGGAAAAAGTAATGCAGAATCAATTTTGTTTAAAAAAATTCGTTTTGTGGGGAAGGATATTAATAATGAACCTTGAAGGAAAATGTTGTTGAAAATAGGAGCATTCAGTTTTCATCATGAAATTAAAATAGAACAGTGATGTTAGTACCACAAATTTAGATTGAACAAATAAGTTAAACAATGTAATTTAATATCATATTAGTTTTTGCTTACAATATTTACAAAAAACAAAGTAGTCGAATTTTGCTACCGTTCAGAAGAAACTGACAGATTCACTGTTGTTTCTTGAGTTCTCACGTTTATACTAGCTAAACTATTGTGTCTTATGAATAGTTCCAGTAACATTATATAAGTTTGTATGCAGTGGTACCTTATAAATACTAACTTTAATATGAATCAAGTAGAATCTATTATTTTTGTAGTTAAGGCACTACCTGTCCAGCAGATAAAACGGTTATCAATTATCAAGGAGCGTGCAGTTCATTTTTTGTTAATAATACATATCAAGAGTAGAGCATTTATCAAAAGCTGCACTTTGAAGCGGAAATTTGTATGAAATGTAGACATGACAATACAATTATTATTATCAATAAGTGTTTAAACAATTTACCAGCACCTACATTAATAAAACGATGTATTAAATTCATCGAAATTTTTACATTTGATAATGGAAAGAAAAATTGTAACTGAAAGGCACAAAACTAAAATAGCTTACCTTGATCTTCCTTTAAAGAACAAAATAGTTCTATCATCTCGCATAACAGCAGCGTCAATCCTATTTGGTACTCCAGGAAACTCTCTCCCAATGTATCGATGACTCCCAGAGATTACTCTTCCAGTGTTAGGATTCAGTTTCCATACTTGACTAGCCTACGATGATAAGGATGATTATTTTAAATCGAGTGTTCAATATTTTTGACGCAGCGTAGATCCATTACATATGGATGTGACTTGTGATCTATACATCATTACATTATCAGTAGGTGTGACAGCATTGGGCACTGAAAAGCATGTTTAAATAAGACTATGCCGTAGGATCGTTGTGTCCTGTTAGAAGGCTAGATTTGATACTCACATGCGTGTTCGATAGTCTAAACTATTTAATTGGTATGGAATTTCCCTAATCCATGCATGATGTTTTAGCATGGATTTCCAGACGTCTGACTTATTCACGTATTTTTCATGCGTGCGTTAATTTTATTTAGAACTGTCAAATGGTATTCATTTTTGTCACTTTATACCCATAAATACCGGTTTATTTTCCACTTTTGGGATAACAAAGAATGTACTGAGCCAAAAGTATAAATAATCGGATTACTCAAGCGGACAAAACACATAGTATCAAAATATCTCAATTGGCTGACGATACAACACAGATAGTATCAATATATCTCAATTGGCTGACGATACAACATTTGTTTGTAGTTTGAAAACAAACATATCAAGAGCTATGAATATAATCGAAACTTTTGGTTCTTTCTCTGTTCTGAAATTAAATTGTAGTAAAACGTAAGGAACTTCGATTGGGGCGCATAAACATAGCAAAGATTAAATTGAGGACACACGCCGGACGGACAAATCCGTTTAAGTTTTAGGTATTTATTTTGGTCATGACAGAAACGAATGAGAAAAGTTAAAGTAGGTACCTAAAGTAAATAAAATGAAATCCTTAATTAAAACATGGTAAAAAGAAACTGGTTGGGAAAATATTACATTGGTAATAAAATCTTTAATGCTACCAAAATTTACCGTTTTTGCTACTTCATGTATTGTTTCAGACAAATACTTAAAAGAAATTGAAAGCTACTGTTTTAAAGATATTTCGGAAGGTAAAAATGACAAAGTAAAAAGAATTACACTCATCAGCCATAATTATAATAAAGGGAGGTTAATATGAAAATAAGAAGATGTGGCATGATTTTCAATGAGACAACTTTCCACCAGAGACCAAATGACGTAGAAGTTAGCAACGATAGGTTACCGTGCGGGCTTTAACAACGAACAGACCCAGTTTCGCAAAGCAATCTATAAAAGGTCCCTACATGACAAATGTAAAACATTTCATACGAGAAAACTAATGAACTGGTTTATGATCAAAGTAATAAACATAAATCAATATGATATACAGCAGCAAACAACCACTGAATTACTGGCTCATGACTTTCGACAGACACATACAGAATGTGGTGGGATTACACATGTTTGCCCGCGCCCTAACCCTGCTCCTAACCTGGGACAGTGGTGTAAAAGCACAACATAAGAACAAACTATCAAAATCATTTGAAAAAGACTTAATTCATCACACCGACACAAAGCACAAACAAAAATAACAAAAAGAGTTAAGACACAAAGTGCTGATCTGAGAGTACTGAAAGCTAGTGCAAAAGACAGTTATTCCTCTTTATAATTGATTTATTTCTTAAGTAAGTTCCTTTGAAACAAGTTAAAAGCACTGAATGATTAGTTACATAAAACTTACTAGAGGCCGAGATGAACCGATATTTAACAAGTTTTTGTGTAGTTAGGTAAACAATACAAAGAAGGGACCTTCAAATGTATAGAAGACGCATTAAGCTGAGATGTTGTACTGATACGATTGTTTACTAATTGAAATTGTTGAATTTTGACAGTTATTTTACAGTACTAAAAGCTTCATAGGTTTTTAAATTCATCTGCCTAACTGGAAGATTATTCCTACCCAATATTTCAACAATCTTGGAAAAGGCTTTTTTTGTATTTAGATCATTCCAAATCGCATAAGGAATTGGGAAAAATACAATACCGGATTTTTATTGACAAGTAATTTCAGGTTGGGTGGAAACAGGAGGAAACAAAATTTGCAGATAACTTTTTGAATATTAGAAAACAGATTGTTTGTGGGAAAAGATATATTTAACCAAAGCTTCTTCTTTTAAAATTGGACAAAAAGAGGATTGACTACATTAAAGACATATTGAATCGTGAGTGAAAGTTATCAGAAGGTTTTATTTTAGAAAAGTTAATTAATAAGTCAAACTAGATTGTAGGTTTTTTTTTTTTGTAAAACAGACGAGGAGGACTATTTAAATTTCTTTATAAAGTGTTCATTTTTTTCAACATTTTTAAAAAGACTTATATAATAGCATAAGAAAAATACATACATTTGTTGTCATAATTTATGTAATGTTTTATTTATATTCCGAGTTTTTCAAGTCCTGCATGGACACAGAGTATTTCGCAGGGATACTTTAATGGACCATAGACAGTGAAGTACAGTTATATAACAGGCAATCTGTAGAATTTAGTATATATATTTGTTGCTAAAATATATATATGAATATTTCGTTGATTGATGTGATATGTGTCTTTCCGTTTTTGCAATTGATTTTGAACATTTCAAATATATCAAATTGCTTCATATCAATGTTATTTTCATCTGGTCTTTCTGTTTTAGTTTTGCCGAAGTTCAGTAATTAAGGACTTTTATGAAATTGCACGCGGAGTTGCAGTCATAATTAATTAGTGACATACGAGTCACAAAATAAAAACCGTCTCTGGTGTTACTTACTCCAAACACAGATATGTCGTTTGAACTAAAAGACAAAGCCGCTCTAGCTTGCTCCGGCATCGTAGCTCCTCCACCTGTGATCCACTTCCTGGATATTCTCCTACCACTTCGGCTGAAATGGTATAATCTCCGTCCTGGAACATTTTAAAACAATATATAATGTATTTTAAATCTTTATAAGACACAACTTGAATTTGTCGAACGCTTTTGAGGTTTGTTTTGTTTTGTGTCCAAAGTAAATGTCATTCAACAATAAATGTGTGCAAACTTTATTGTGTGTATGTTTTACTTTATCATTTTTTTTTTAAATAAGTTCTCTTCTATATGAAATATTTGTTTAAGTAATAAAAGCCTAAGCTCTGACGCTTAATGTTCATACCTTTCATCATCAGAATTCTACTGCCACTCATCACTTCGGTGGCAGCATCGGGTCGGATTGGAGACCTTTGAAACATAGTCCGTTGTGTCATTGTAGCGACTAAACCTTGATTTGGATCAATTCTCAGCATGTAGGATCTTCCCATGAAAACCAATAAATCTCCATTAAAATCTATAAAAAAAGAACAAATTTTAAAAGGTATGATGATGTAATTGTGGTCATGCAATATAACACAAACTGCATAAATCAAAATAGAAAATATAATTAATAGTATTATCATTATTATTCTTATTATCATTATTGTTATTGTTCAAATAAAATAAACAAAATAAATTAAAGAAAAAACTAAAATATTGAAGACAAACTGCTTTAGTGATTAATAAGCGTAAATTTAAAAATTCAGCAATTCCAGTAAATTAGAAAAGCAACCAACTTCTGGCATAGTTTGGCGTAATTTACCTCTTACAACAGCATTATAGGGGATATCACAAATAGTTGGTCTGTTAGTTGGAGGAGGTGGCGGGGCCTCCGTTACTGGTACTACTGGTGGCATTGTGGTTCTAGGAGTAGTCGGTGTTGGTGGAGGCTGATTCCTTGGTGGACCTTGAAACAATGACACATATAGTTTAATATTCGTCAAACAAAAACAAAACGAGCAATAACAAATACGAACAAACAAACAAACATGAGAAAAACGGACAGAAAGTAAAAAGAAGAAAAACAATATCTTAACTGGGTCCAATATATAAAATTTATGTAATAGTCCCAGATCTTAAGCAAGACTTTTATTCATTCGTTAAATATTGTAGTAATATTTATCTCCTTCCTGCTCTTTACTATTTCAGCAGTTTTAATACTTTTCTCATTGTATTTTAATACAGAATCTTGTGTTATGTTTATAATTTCTGAATTTTAAAAGAAGGTTTATCTTTAAAAGACTCGTTCTGAAAATTAAAACTTCTATTCAAAATCAGTATAATTGTGGAAGTTCCATAATTACCATACAAGGCCTGTATTCCAGCAATGTCGTCAGAATTGAGCTCAAAATTTGGATTGTAGCCGGTGTAAAAGGGTGCCATCAGTGCCTGTCTGATTTCAGAATGACCTAATCCGAGGGCATGTCCAAATTCGTGTGCTGCTACAGTAAAATAATCTACTCCTGTTCTGTTTACCACCCACGCTTCATCTTCATCAAAGTGGGTATCTCCAAAGGGAGGAAAGAAAGCATGAGCAAGCACACGTCCTGCAAGAGTCAAATTTAAAATTAGAAATTAGAAATTAGAATAAGCATTTGAAAGGAAAGACAGAATAAATTAAATCATCAAAGCATCATAGATACAGATTTGGCATAGCACCAATTATTATCAAGCTATTGAATCATCATAAATGAAGAGACAGCGTTGCAATTTATAATTTGGTAAATAAATATGGTTTAAAACGCTTCAAATATATTTTGTGCGCCAGACGCCCGTTTCGTCTAAAAAAAGACTCATCAGTGACGCTCGAATAAAAAAAAATAAAAGGCCAAATAAAGTACGAAGTTGAGGGCAAAAAAATCCGAAAGATTTTGCCAAATACAGCTAAGGTAATCTATTCCTTGGGTAGAACATCCTTACTATTTGAACAATTCAACGTTTGGTAAACAATTTATAAATATGACCATACCGGATAAGGGATTTTACAGACACGTCTCAAAGAACTAGTTTAACCCTATCACATGGTTGTGTTGCAAGTTAGAAACCACATTTGTGCTTGTGTTTCGTCATATATTCTGTCGGTTTTTTTTTTGGCATTTTGAAATGTTTGAGTATGTTTATGCTGCCAAATTATATACAATGCGTTTTCTATATTTTTGTAAACAGTATAAATTGAAATTTTACGTTTGAAGACGTGTTGATAGCAGATCTGAGGTGGTCAGTGTTAAAATGATTGACTACTTTTCTAACCCATGTACGATTAAGATATTGTCGTGTTGTAGAGACACTGGGTCCTGTCTATTGCTTGACTATTTTTCTAACCCATGTACGGTTAAGATATTGTCGTGTTGTAGAGATACCGGATCCTGTCTATTGCTTGACTATTTTTCTAACCCATGTACGATTAAGATATCGTCGTGTTGTAGAGACACTGGGTCCTGTCTATTGCTAGATTACTTTTCTAACCCATGTACGATAAAGATAGTGTCGTGTTGTAGAGACACTGGGTCCTGTCAATTGCTTGATTACTTTTCTAACCCATGTACGATTAAGATATTGTCGTGTTGTAGAGACACCGGATCCTGTCTATTGCTCGACTACTTTTCTAACCCATGTACGATTAAGATATTGTCGTGTTGTAGAGACACTGGTCCTGTCTATTGCTTGACTATTTTTCTAACCCATGTACGATAAAGATATTGTGTTGTAGAGACACCGGATCCTGTCTATTGCTTGACTACTTTTCTATAACTCATGTACGATTAAGATATTGTCGTGTTGTAGAGACACTTGGTCCTGTCAATTGCTTGATTACTTTTCTAACCCATGTACGATTAAGATATTGTCGTGTTGTAGAGACACTGGGTCCTGTCAATTGTTTGACTACTTTTCTAACCCATGTACGATTAAGATATTGTCGTGTTGTAGAGACACTGGGTCCTGTCTATTGCTTGACTACTTTTCTAACCCATGTACGATTAAGATATCGTCGTGTTGTAGAGACACTGGGTCCTGTCTATATTTTGACTTCTTTTCTAACCCATGTACGATTAAGATATTGTCGTGTTGTAGAGACACCGGATCCTGTCTATTGCTTGACTACTTTTCTAACCCATGTACGATTAAGATATTGTCGTGTTGTAGAGACACTGGTCCTGTCTATTGCTTGACTATTTTTCTAACCCATGTACGATTAAGATATTGTCGGGTTGTAGAGATACCGGATCCTGTCTATTGCTTGACTATTTTTCTAACCCATGTACGATAAAGATATTGTGTTGTAGAGACACCGGATCCTGTCTATTGCTTGACTACTTTTCTATAACTCATGTACGATTAAGATATTGTCGTGTTGTAGAGACACTGGGTCCTGTCAATTGCTTGATTACTTTTCTAACCCATGTACGATAAGATATTGTCGTGTTGTAGAGACACTGGGTCCTGTCAATTGTTTGACTACTTTTCTAACCCATGTACGATTAAGATATTGTCGTGTTGTAGAGACACTGGGTCCTGTCTATTGCTTGACTACTTTTCTAACCCATGTACGATTAAGATATTGTCGTGTTGTAGAGACACCGGATCCTGTCTATTGCTACACACTGTATGTTGCTTTATATAATTATGTTCGTTGGTTATTTGTGTTGTTATGTTGCTGTCTCCTTAAATGTATCATAAACACCCTCCAACCCATAAACAATAATAAAAAAAAAGATATTTGTTTCATGTCTACTTCTATGCCTGTCCATGAACTTGCATGGAAATTTGAGACTTTATACCGTTTTTGTGAATATCTATCATTCAGTAGAAAAGGTCATATCATGATGAAATGACAAATTGATTTTTTTAAAATCCTTTTGAAAATGTGATATGATTGCCAATGAGACACCGCCTTGTGTGTTTAACCATCAGCTTACAACCAGTTCCTGGTTGGAAAGATCTATATTATTTTCAAATATCTGTTTAATTTTACTGTTTTCTTATGTGTGTGTGTGTGTTTGGAAGCGTGCAAAAACAATGCTACATACCAGGTCCATCAAAGGCATTTCCCTGTCCGTCGCCGTGGTTTCTTCTTGCAAAATCTATATCTATGTCGGCGTCTCCAGATTGTAGCTGTACAAACTGAAGGTTGGCATTTTTACTCCACAAGTCAAAAGCTCTTGCAGTTTCGACTCTAAAAAAGTAGATAGAATCATTACTCGACTTCAACGGACATCATTAAATAGGTCACAATAATTCTGTTTTTTACTTTTAAAGGTTTTTTTTATTTTTGATGAAAAAAATAGGATATAACCCTAAGCTTATTAACCATGTTTACCAGAAGCTAATAATTTTTTTTTTAATATATTTTATTTGTTTGGATTGGAAAATGTGCTGAGAGATTGCAATATTGAAAGTAGGACTTGGCAAACAAAAATTGTGAATATTTTAACTGTCAAATCATTAAACATTAGTATTTACAATACTTAAAATCCCGGTTTTTCTGCTATATATATATATATATATATATATATATATATATATATAAGTCTAAATTGAAAACAACGTTCAAACCTATGACTGCGTTGGATAAAAACCGCAATTTTTATACGTGTACATGCAAAACAAATTTCTTGGTAGAGGGGTCTAAATACAGCACAAACAACATTTTCCAAAAGACCAAAAAAGTGAAAAAGTATATTTAAACAAAACGCATTTGACTAACAGGTCGAACAACGGATGTTCTTAAACCCTGCTGACTGCCATTGGCGATTGCCAAATAAACGGGTCACAAGATGTAACAAATGGATCTTTATTATTAATTTAATACCAAACAGAAAACAATTAACTTGCGAAAAAGATGGTATACCGCAAACATGAGGTGCAAAAATTTGTACACCATATCCGGATTTCGACAATTAATGTCTCTTCAGTGATGTTAGGAATCGAAAAGGTATTTGGAAGGCCATATAATTTACCTCAATTTAGGATAGACTCTTGAATTTTGAAGAGTCGAAATATGATGAACGGATCATATAAACCCGAAGGCAAATATAATACAAGCCCAAACGAAAAAATATAAATAAGTTTAAATTGAAAACAACGTTCAAACCTATATATACTGTCGTTGGTAATGATAGAGTTCTATCAAGAACTAGTTTAATCGCAATTTTACAAAACTCTAACAATGTAATATGCTTTAACTATAAAGGATTTTATTGCTCACCTTACTTGACCTTGGCTTATTTTTCGACTGAATGAATTTAGTCGCCATGTAATTCTGTTCTTCTCCCATTTTGTTCCTGAAAATAGATAGAATGATATATGTGCCTTATTTCGTAAATGATAAATGAAAAACATACAAACTATGCATGCACCGGTTCTTATTTAATTGCATATATCTGATAAAAAATTTAAAAAAAAACAGATTTTGAATAAAGCTCTCCAGCACATTGTGTAAATACGTTTTCCACTGATTGCTTGTTTTAAACAAGCGTTCCCTCGGCTCATCAATTAACTGATGTATTCTAACATGCCTAAGTAATCTTAGAGTTTATTCAATTCATAACATGTTCATAATGTTATGCAAGTTTCGTCTTTTAAGCTGCCAGGTTTTCTAAATACCAGAAAATGATCAAGTTAAATATATTTGAAATTAACCAGTCCTGATTCATTGAATGAATGAATGAATGAATGAATACTATATTGCAGAAAGCATTCAATATGCTATAGCAACGAAAACATATTTACAACATGACAAATGATAAACAGCAGAGACCAATACACAAAATACATAATAAAAAAACAAATAACATTAAGTAACAATATGTGATCTGATTGACCACGCAGATTGTATGTAATTACACAGTAAAACAGACGTAAATTTAAATTAATACTGTAATCTATTATTGTTTGGCCAAGAACCATTAAGTTTTTGCCAAAACTTTAGACCTAATTGATCTATAGGCAGGGCATACTAATAAAAAGTGGTATTCGTTTTCAACACACTGCATTGCCTGATCACACAAAAGAGTTATAAATGTCGGAAATCGAGGTTAATTGAATTGCTGGTACTTTGGTTGAAATTATACATGTGTGACATAAGACTAGTACTGTTAATACTCATTAACAGACTGTTCATTGATTTGCTTAACTTCAAATATCATAAATATATATATTTACACGGTTTCTGCTGGACAATTTATATTTAGACACTGTGCATTATGGAAAAATCAGTAAAGAATGTTTATGCGTATACGTTTTTGGTATATCATTCATGTTAACCCCAAATCTCCTTCTATTAATACTGAATACGCATTATGTGTTTCTTTTACAAAACTCATCAGTTTCCAGTCCCGGATCGTGGATTTGATTGACAACTAGGAATAGAGGACATTGTTTTTACACATAATTGGCTGTATCTTAATTACATTCCCCATTTTTTAGGGGTAGGGGTGGTGGCGGTCCGAATCCGCGCCTGGTTTCACCAAACACAAAAATGTAGCGCAAAACAGATAAAACTCGTTTACTGCTAGTGTATTAATAACATTGCATGATTTTACGTACTAGGTGCTATAAGAATTGGTTTGCATTTATATGTCAATGGGTCATAAATGTTCTTATGTTAAGACATCTGTAAAAACTGTGTACTGATTTTTTTTATCTAGTTAATATGAATGATCCCATGTCGTCAACATTTAATTGTGATATACGTCACAAATAGTATGTCTGATAGGTGGGAAATATATAAATGGGTTATGATTTTTCTATGAAATATATGTAAAGGAAGGGATGTTAGCAAAAGTTAATACTAGTATAGGGGACGTTTGTATGTTAAGCCCCTCCCCTAATCCTTTCCAACGTCTTTATGACATTGACAAGGATAGTAAATTAAGAAAAATGTCAGCAAAATATAGATAGATTGGTAAATTCCTAAAAAAAAAACGGTTTAAAATATAAACAACTAACCTAAGTTAAACTGCACAGGAGTTGGAGGGTTTTTTTTCTTAGAAAATGCTGCTTCGTTTTTCTGTGGCATGACATCAGGACATCCACATCTTTCTTTACCAAACAGTTCAGCTGTAGCAGTATCATAAACACCTGTTATTGGCAGCTTGTTGTAATTTTGGAAAAATCTAAAAACAAAAGTTACTTTTATAGTTGTTAATTAGACAACAAATCACTGCGTACGTGTACAAGAAAAACGACAAGTTGTTTAACATGAAGTAGTTTTATGCTTTGAATGTATCATATCAGGTGCTTGTCCTCTCTATTTTTACTGATAAATGTAAAATCATCCGATAAAATCTGTTTCGACCCGCGCTTTCTAAAAAGCCTTCGTACATGGTGTCTGTCAAGAAGTCAAATATTAACTACAAAACCCACCGTGCTTGTTTGATACGTGGGAAATGCTCTTACATTTGAAAACAAATAAGCTTGTTACAAAAAAATCCTCTTTCATTTTTATTTTTTTTAATTATCGTATTTATCAAGTTGGTGAAGGGTTCAAAAATTGGACGTAAAAGGTCAAATTCTTTGTGTTTTTTGTTTTAATTCAACTTTGAAATTAATTTCCAATAATTTCCTTCCCTGTTTCTAAACTCATTTATTTATTTATCTCAGTTTTCACGAGAGCTTTCACTTCCCGTTTTTCAAGGATTTTATTTGTGTGTATCATCCTTAGATCAACATGTATTACACAGTGAAGTTTTTTGATTTGAGTTTTTTTTTAAAGAAGAAGAGAAAATTGAACAAAAATAACAAGTTCTTAAAAGTGACGTTTGTGTTTGATTATTTATCCTTTTAAAAAATATTCACATCATTTCTACGAGAGCAGTTTAATATCATTTTTAATGATTTTACACTTAAAAGTCATGAAAACAACACAGTTAAAAGAGGATTGGAACTATATTAGTTTCTGGCAAGATAATTTTCTGTTTTATCTGGATTTTGACAGTCAACTCTTCTTTCATCTGTAATCTGACAGTCAAATCCTATTCATATTAGTAACCTGACAAATTATATGCGTAGTTGTAACCTCGCTGTCAGTCCTTTTTCATCTGAAACCTGATAGTCAAAGTCTATTTCTATTTGTAACCTGATAGTCAAAGTCTATTTCTATTTGTAACCAGATAGTCAAAGTCTATTTTTTTCTTTTTTATCTGACAAATTAAATCATATTTCATTGAAATCTGACAAACAAATGCTATTTTTAGTTGTAACATGACAGTCAAATCCTTTTCATTTGTAACATATTAGTTGTATTCTATTTTTATTTGTGATCTGACAGTCAAATCGTACTTCTTTTATAACCTGACAGTCACTTCCTATTATATAAGTCATGACAGTATGACTAAGGAACGCTTCAACGAGTTAAAAACAAATCTATCTCAATTTAAATAACACCATTAATAGGAAGTTAGCACCGCTTTAACAATTTGTCATAAATGTAAAAATAAGAAGAATTGGTATGATTGCCGATGAAACAACAGCAGCAGCAACAAACGACAACCACTGAATTGCCGGCTCCTGACTTGGGACAGGCACATAGGTGTAGCGGGGTTAAACATGTTTGCGGGCGCTCAACTCTACCCCTAACCTGGAACAGTGGTGTAACAGTACGACATTAGAATAAACGATTTAAAGTCTGTTCATTATGATTCATATCCCAAAGGAATGTTTTGAATATATTCAATCCATGTGAAAAATACGGTATCTTTAACAAACAGAAGTAGTTGTACATAATTATATTAATAAACAGATACAAAAGCCTATTCATTTTCTTAAAAGCAGACTTGTATACTAAGGTAAACCACGATTAAAAAGATAAACAAAAGCTGTTCTTTTTTTTTTTCGGATGAGGCGGGGGTTTTTGGTCTGTGTGTTCTGATGTATTGTACAATGGTTTTTTGTATCATAAGCTGAACTATACAGTTAAAGAGTTTTAAGTGTTTTGTTTTTGTTGTTCTTGTTGATTTTTTTTTATCTTTTTCATGTGTTATTTTCTTCCGAACTTTGTTTAGTAGTTAGCCTCCTGTTCATGTATCTAATATAAATGACCATTGTTAGTAAAACTTAATTCTGATCTTCATTACTTAAGAGTAAAGTTTTGTCTCTTATTTGTTATCGTCGATTTTATATAAGTTGCCACCAGTAACATCATTATAATGATAGCAAGTTCACTTACTGTAATGCATATTTTCTGTTCTCCGCTGAAGCTAAAATTCTCGTCCCAGGCATATGGTCATCTAAGTAGCCATATCTTCGCAAGTATAGCTGAAAAAGGGAAAATAATCATTTATCCAAAATGACATAAAGGGGACTTTTAAAGAAGGTTGTGTAAAGTTTTTTAAGCTGTTAGTCTTAAGATGCGCGTTGGGTGAAAGCTCTGTAAATACAGTTAAAAACAGCCTTAGCTTAGTTTCTCATAAATCGAGTAAGAACAGACAAATCAAGATGACGAACAGAAACTGAGAGGAACACAAAGAACTCCAAAAGGAGTGAGACGGAGCGCGTCGACAGGGTAAGTGTCTCATGCTATGCATAAATCACCTGTCATGCAAGGAAAACAGTTTGTAAGAGATACATGCTGTAGTGCTGAAAACAGTTGGTTAAAGATACATGCTGTAGTGCTGAAAACAGTTTGTTAGACATGCACGCTGTAATGCTGAAAACAGTTTGTTAGACATATATGCTGTAGTGCTGAAAACAGTTTATTAGAGATACACACTGTAGTGCTGAAAACAGTTTGTAGACATACATGCTGTAGTGCTGAAAACAGTTTGTTAGAGATACACGATGTAGTGCTAAAAACAGTCTGTTAAAGATACACACTGCAGTGCTGATTTCAGTTTGTTAGAGATACACACTGTAGTGCTGAAAACAGTTTGTTAGAGATACATTCTGTAGTGCTGAAAACAGTTTGTTAGAGATACACGATGTAGTGCTAAAAACAGTTTGTTAGAGATACATGCTGCAGTGCTGATTTCAGTTTGTTAGAGATACACACTGTAGTGCTGAAAACAGTTTGTTAGAGATATTTGCTGTAGTGCTGAAAACAGTTTGTTAAAGATACATGCTGTAGTGCTGAAAACAGTTTGTTAGAGATACATGCTGTAGTGCTGAAAGCAGTTTGTTAGAGATACACACTGTAGTGCTGAAAACAGTTTGTTAGAGATACTTGCTGTAGTGCTGAAAACAGTTTGTTAAAGATACATGCTGTAGTGCTGAAAACAGTTTGTTAGAGATACATGCTGTAGTGCTGAAAACAGTTTGTGAGAGATACACACTGTAGTGCTGAAAACAGTGTGTTAAAGATACACGTTGGTAAACAGTTTGTTAGAGATACACGCTGTAGTGCTGAAAACAGTGTGTTAGAGATACACGTTGTAAAACAGTTTGTTAGAGATACACGTTGTACTGAAAACATTTTCAGTAGACTTTTGGGCAGAACTTTTAGTGTAACCAAAAAAGTTACATGACATATAGTTTTCAAGAGTCTTACATTATTGCTACCAAAGCAGTTTCAGTAATTTTTTTTAGAGACTTACATCTATTTCCATTAATTCATCATTACTAAGGTTTCCAGCAGCTCGTATGTGTATTCCTCGGTGAATTTTATATGAAAATAATCCATCAAAAAATAAAATGCAAATTAAAAATTTTAACACCATGTTTAAGTTCTTTGGTGTCAATTTTCCTATAACAACTATCTAGAATAAGAGACTATATATATATACTTATGTACAGAGGATAGATACACTTCACCCACTTCCGTGTTGAAGGACTGTCCACTTAATGATGAGTAACTGACTTTTGTGAGGTTCACAAAGGGATATTAGCTAGGATATAAGAAACAGTTGTTTTGAAATTGTAATATGAAACAATAACTATAATTCTAATTATCAAGTAGCAACAACTAGGAACAATTAGCATTTTAATCGGGGTTGGTGCGCGGGGTAATTTGACCTTTTTGTGACAGTACAGAAGGATTGTCAAAGACATAGAAATGTACCAAGTTACCTTGTTTAGGGGATAAGTAAACTTTGTTTCATTTCGTAACAAGTTTAATTAGAACATGATACACTATAGTAAACATCCCTTATATGGATAATACCTTACAAACTCCGGTCCAAAGAACCGTAGTTACTTAATGTTCAGACAATTAAATGATTAATATGATTTAAAACTTAGTAACGCATCAGATGAAAGCAGTTAGTCATACAAATAGAAGGTGCAATAATTATCAATGAACAGGACAATTGAAAGACTTGTCGAACAAATAGTATTATTATTCCGGCTGTATATGTCTTATGATAGACTCTATAGGAGTACCATCCTAGGCTACGTCAAAACTTTCCTAAGATAATCCCAATGAGGTTGATCTTGGAACTATCTGAAGTTATCTTTACGTTCTATTTAGTACTTTCTTCTTTTACAATAACAAAATGCATATAATTTCTTCAACAACTGCGTACTTTTATCTGGCCTTTTTAACTTTTTTTTATTCGAGAGTCACTGATGAGTCTTATGTAGACTGGTATCTACGACGAGTTTATTTACATTAATATTAATAATTTGATTGCTATATAATTGACTATAAAAAAAATATCCAATGATTATAACGATAAAAACACAAAGAAGAGGAAAAATATTTAAAAAGTTTTTAATCCTTAATATATATAATTTACATGATTTTTTTTCCTTCTTGGTAAGATATTCATAACGATAATGGTTATATTCTCTCAATTTCTCAATTGAATTGTTTCATATTTTTCATGTCGGGGCCTTTTATTGCCGACTATACGGTATGGGTTTTTCTCATTGTTGAAGGCCGTATGGTTGCCTATATTTGCTTGCATCCACTTCATTTGAACTTAGGAGGTTAGTCTCATCTCATTGGCAATCATCTCCTTATTTTTTATATGATGTTTGAAGCCTTTTTTAAAAACATTTTTATGAAATAATAAGGTACAGGTTATGTTTAAAAAGATATCGAGGTTCACATTATTTATTAAAATAAGAGGGCAAACAAATTTGTACTCCGTTCATGTACATATATGTAGCGTTATAAATTCTTCCATGTGCTTCTCTTTCGTTGCAATCAATAGTAATGACATGTTATTTCATTATTTACATGTTATATTGAACCGTAACAAGAATTCATTTAGACAGGTTTTACATGTACGCCGTGCACGATTAATTCAACGGACAATACATGTTTCATCACGTGCTGTTAAGGGAGGTCGGGTGTCTTCCGCCATCTAAATGAAGAAAAGTATGTGTTTTATTATATGTATACGACTAGGGTTGTGAGTTCGAATCCGGCACGTGGTAGGTGCGTTCGATTTCAATCTTAATTGACTAGGATTGTCAGTTTTCCTTCCGAAGGTTGGTCGTTCTCTCCGGGCATCCCGACTTCCTCCACCAATAAAAACTGACCGCCACGAAATAGCACAAAGGTGCTGAAAGTGGCGTTAAACACCAATCAATCAATCTCATATTTTATCTTAAAATTCTTTCGTTTCCTTTTCTTTTTGCGGGTTTTTTTCATGTATAATTTATACAAAATCTGACCATTTTGCACAACTTGTAGCTTGATAAAAAGCCCCGTGGCCAATATATCATTACATTTTTAAAAAAGCAGGATATAAACTACATTTTGACAAATTACTAAAAAATTCTATCGAATTTAATTTAGACCCCCATTTACCTTAACAAAACTAAAAGTCTTATTTTCATTACAATATCTAGTATAATAACACTTTAATTAACTTAGATAAAAAAGTTAGATTTTATGATTTATCCTAAGTTGAGAGACTTAAAAATAAAATGTGTAGGCCTCTAAGACATGTCCCAAGACCATCTTTTGACATGTCTTAGTCTTAAGATACATTTGAAAACCAAAGCCTAGGTAACCAGATAAACTAGTTATTAAAACAGAAAAAAAATAACAATTTTCCATGATATATTGAAATCAGTTTTAAATTGTATTTTTAGCACTGATATGATTATATTTGTTCCATAAAACATGGCCGTATTACGTTCAGCTCGCGCAAATCCTGTTGGAGCAAATATTCAATAACCTTTATTCCGTTAGGAACAAATATTGTAATGTTTGTCCTAGTGGAAATGATATTAAAGAATATTTCTCCCATTTTGGATCTTATAAGGAAAAAGGGGTCAAATGTAAGAATTGGGATCAAATCCTATAAGTAAAAAAGGGAAGAAGATAAAAACACAAATGAAAGAAAAACAAGCTGAATATTTGTATAGGTAAAAGTACAAATAAACTGTCAAGCGGTTTTAAGTAGTGTAATTGGAAAATCCTTATTTATAAAGTTTAATCTTCGACGAAATGTATTTTAAAGGAGTTCTACAAATTCTTAAATATAATGTGATGAGTCATGATGACAATTAAATTTGTTTTATAAACACATATTAAGTTCAGTAAATCAAAATCGGACTGACTTGTCTAATTGAAAGTGAAATGCATTTTCATTCAAATACTGATTTATGAAAGATATGGATAAAATCATGCAATGAGACAGCAATTTCAGGTTTTAGACACGACTAAACAAAGTTCAGATTCAGTTGTCTACAATTTATTTTTATGAGAAATGTGATGATTATTACATTATTGTCGCTACATTTTACCAGAGACACATATGTGTATAGATGTCTCTGATTTTACATACTGAACAGCATTGTGCAGGGCTAATTCCTTAGGTAAGCGGAAATAATAAAAGGAGCAACCATTTAACTACAAAGGTGGAAAAGGGGGGGGGGGGGGGGGGGGGGGGGGGGGTTTGTCTGAGTCAGAATTTTTTTTCACTCAAAGCGCGAACACTTTTTTTTTAGTTTTTTGACGCTATATCAATCAAATTATTTTTTCAAAATTTAACACTCTAAGGTATGGGGAAAATATGGATTCAGAATATTTTTTTTGTCATCTGCTTGACTGCAATATTTTTTTTCAACAAATTGGGGATCAGAATATTTTTTTAGAAAAAAAAACATAACCCCCCATTCCCTTGAAGTTACTGGAATGGTCGTTCCCTAAGTAGAATTAAAGCTTGCACAAGGGTTTGTTTTAGATAATCGTACTTGAAGTTACTGGAATGGTCATTCCCTAAGTAGAATTAAAGCTTGCACAAGGGTTTGTTTTAGGTAATCGTACTAGAAGTTACTGGAATGGTCGTTCCTTAAGTAGAATTATAGCTTGCACAAGGGTTTGTTTTAGATAATCGTACTTGAAGTTACTGGAATGGTCGTTCCCCAAGTAGAATTAACGCTTGCACAAGGGTTTGTTTTAAGTAATCGTACTTGAAGTTACTGGAATGGTCGTTCCCTAAGTAGAATTAAAGCTTGCACAAGGGTTTGTTTTAGGTAATCGTACTTGAAGTTACTGGAATGGTCGTTCCCTAAGTAGAATTAAAGCTTGCACAAGGGTTTGTTTTAGGTAATCGTACTTGAAGTTACTGGAATGGTCGTTCCCTAAGTAGAATTAAAGCTTGCACAAGGGTTTGTTTTAGGTAATCGTACTTGAAGTTACTGGAATGGTCGTTCCCTAAGTAGAATTAAAGCTTGCACAAGGGTTTGTTTTAGATAATCGTACTTGAAGTTACTGGAATGGTCGTTCCCCAAGTAGAATTAAAGCTTGCATAAGGGTTTGTTTTAGGTAATCGTACTTGAAGTTACTGGAATGGTCGTTCCCCAAGTAGAATTAAAGCTTGCACAAGGGTTTGTTTTAGGTAATCGTACTTGAAGTTACTGGAATGGTCGTTCCCTAAGTAGAATTAAAGCTTGCACAAGGGTTTGTTTTAGGTAATCGTACTTGAAGTTACTGGAATGGTCGTTCCCCAAGTAGAATTAAAGCTTGCACAAGGGTTTGTTTTAGGTAATCGTACTTGAAGTTACTGGAATGGTCGTTCCCCAAGTAGAATTAAAGCTTGCACAAGGGTTTGTTTTAGGTAATCGTACTTGAAGTTACTGGAATGGTCGTTCCCTAAGTAGAATTAAAGCTTGCACAAGGGTTTGTTTTAGGTAATCGTACTTGAAGTTACTGGAATGGTCGTTCCTTAAGTAGAATTAAAGCTTGCACAAGGGTTTGTTTTAGGTAATCGTACTTGAAGTTACTGGAATGGTCGTTCCCTAAGTAGAATTAAAGCTTGCACAAGGGTTTGTTTTAGGTAATCGTACTTGAAGTTACTGGAATGGTCGTTCCCCAAGTAGAATTAAAGCTTGCACAAGGGTTTGTTTTAGGTAATCGTACTCGTTAGTATGATTGGTTGTTGATTGCTTAATGCCCAATGGCAAATATTTCATGCATATTCAGAACAAGAACAAATGAGGTCAAGGTCAGATGAACGTTGGCCGACTTACATGTTTACCTTTTTATTCGGCAAATACCGTTGAATTTTTACAAATAGTATCGGAAAAACGGACATAATTGTGAAAGCTTAAACATGATGAATCAAAAATGACGAATTAACAACAACAAAGACGTCAATTACCATGTCAAACGGACACTACGTCCGCAGTGTGTTTTAGTTACTTGTTTTTCTGTTTTGTATCGATCTGATGAGTTAAGCCCTTTTCAGCTAATATTTATAGTTTGTTCATATGTTGTACTCAGTTTCACCACTGGCCCAGGTTAGGGGATTGTTAGGTGCCCGCTAACATGTTTTTTTTTACTCCGCCACATTCTGTATGTGCCT